ATATCCCAGCATACGTAACCCCACATATAACAACATTTTTTTGATCAAATTTCAAAACAACAGTGGCCTAACGAAGATTTTTCTCCTAAAGGACCATGAAAAAAATTCAAATATGGGTCTTTTCTTTGAAGCTTCATTTATCGTTTGTAATTACGTAATGAGGAAGTGAAAATTTCAAATATACACACAACAAAATAATTCAGTATCTCGTTCAATAATCTTTGGTCATTTATCTCGAAACTAAAGAAATGGACTTAAGCCATTGTTGCGCTGATAGCCTCAAATGTATTTAGGTATTCTTAATATCACCTAAGAACTTCAGAAGGTAGGTACCTTCCAATAAAAATTCCTCTTCCATGCTAAATTCAATGATGAGTCGTGACTTTCTATTGGCCTCTTCTCGAGCATAGCCTGGATCCGCCCCTGTACCTCTACGAAGAATAATTTCACAACCTGCAGATATTCAATTTTTATTCATCCAACTTGGTAAAGTTGATAAGGTTACCTCAAAACAAAAATGGAACGGGGAATTAAGAAACTGCCTGTTCCATACAAATCCGATCCTAACTATTGGGATCTCGGTAACTATGAGAGATAGAGAGTCGGTTAAATTACGAAAGTTTCAGCAAATTCAATCGTGATTCAGAATCCGTCAAGAAATCTGGTTTAGCTTCAGTAATTTTGTTTTTTTTCGTATCTCGAAACATTCAAATAGTACCTGTTAGTGACCTTTAAAAGGAAGGCCATTTGATGCTGATTTCGAATCTGGAAAAGTCCAATAATATGGTACACTACACACTGTTTTACAACTAACCAAAGCGATTTTTTACACCTCGACACAACAGGACATGCAAAAATAGCAGAGTGGGTGGAGCAAGAGATTCCTATCTCCACTCTCAGAGTGAATGAAATACAGGACAAGCTGAGATGGAATAGGAAATTCAAACTTACCATTCCAAGCAGAGAGGAATGGAGAAACAATACAGTAGAGTTTCGCCCAGGAAGCTTAGTATGTTACACAGACGGATCCCGTCTGACCGACAGACAGGCCTCGGGTGCAGGAATCTATCTCGAAGGGAGAAACATACGAGGAAGCTACGCTCTAGGAAAATACACCACAGTTTCCCAAGCTGAGGTGTTCGCCATCCTGGTCGTAGCAGAGAGGCAAGAGGTGAAAGAGGGACCAGAGCAGAAGATCTAAATCTGTTCGGACAGTCAGGCAGCACTCAAGGCAATCTGTCATCCCAGACCGAGCTCAGCATTGGTACAGGAATGTGGAAATGCCCTTGAGATATTAGCAGAATCGAAGGAAGTTGAACTGGTATGGGTCCCGGGTCACAGTGGAGTGCCCGGAAACGAAACAGCAGACGAACTTGCTAGAGCCGGATCCGCGGAGCCGTTTCTGGGTCCGGAGCCTGTACTAGGTATATCAAGGAACCAAATTACGTCAGCCCTCGATAAATGGGCGGACAAGGCACTAGGAGAATACTGGAGAAATATCACAGGTTGCAGGCAGGCCAAGGAATTCATGGCCGGTCCAAGCAAATCAAGGAATAAGGAGTGGCTGCTTGGCAGAGACCGCCAAGCACTTCGCCTCCTTATAGGAGTTCTCACAGGACACAACAGGCTAGGCAGACACCTATCACTTATGGGAATAGAGGACAACCCCACTTGCCGCAGATGCGGGGAAGACGAGGAAATGTCACTCCATTCCCTCGGCGAGTGCGAGGCGAACGGAAGGCTGAGATTTGAAATCTTTGGAGTAGACAAACTTCAACAGGAGGATTATATTAGAGTGGACGGACATACTGGCTTTCATCAGAAGGTCAGGGAGATTCGTAAAGGAAATCTAGGTGAAGGAAGCGTAGATATGTGGAGAGCAGGGGTTAGCAACAAGGGCCCATCGAAGCCTACTTGCTTGGCTACAGCCTCCCCACCTACTACTACTACTAAACCTCGACACGTGTTTCGCTAACTAAGTTAGCATCCTCAGGAGAAGATTAAAACTAAATGCTCTATCTTAGAGGGCTACTTATTAACTAGGTATATATCCACCCAACCCGTGAATAGACAATAACCACCAAGTTGATGTTATCCATGGTTGAGTTCACATGTTATATTGCTCAACTATACAGAGGGCTAAATGGGATAGGTCCATCATCCTTATTCATTACTCTATTACTATTCTTGAATATCTCTAAGCTTTCATATACATCTAGTTTTCTAACATTATTAACTTGCTTAACAAATTTGAGGTTATTTATATGTATGTTATGTTTCATATGCATCTGATTTTCTATCATTTTTAACTTGCTTAACTAATTTGAGGATATTGATATTATGTGTTATGATTGTGATTGGATGGAAATTACAGATATAGATAACTTCATCTCAAAATCCATAAGATTTGGATTAGATATACCGGGTGACACAGGGTATTGGGCCACCCCTGTAACTTCTGCTTCCGTCAACGGATTTTTCTGAAATTCGGTACAGTTATATAAGCAACTATTTCGGATTTGATCACATTACAATCCAATATGGCGGACTTCCGGTATTTCTGGAAATGCCAGCAACTTTGTTCTTTCAAATGAAACATCCTGTATATTTTTACATATTCGAGTTCAACAGGTCGAAACAAGTGCCATCTTTATATCAAATGTCATTTTTTCGAAAAAAATTAAATTGCAATTGTTTTTTCATTTTACCTCGTGGATAAATGAGATGTGGTCAAGACTATTCACAATGAGTCACACATAACAGAAGAACATAATTTTTTCTGAAAAATTATTTTCTGTGTCACCTATCCAGGAATCAATTCAGCCACATCACTTTTTGATTCAAAAAAATTTTTTTTCAAATGGAACCCCTATGGGCCACCTACCCGTCTCTCTAGAACATACATTGAGGAACAAAATGACATATCATTTTTGTTTTTCGGTGCAGTAACAAATTGTATAAATTCAAAAATCAACAACTAGTTTATGAATTTCCTCGCAGTTAGAATAATTTTTCAACTAGGTAGGCTGTGGAATGAATGACATTTGACATGAAGATTGCACTTGTTTTGACCTGTTGAACTTGAATATGTAAAAATATACAGGGTGTTCCATTTGAAAAAACAGAATTGCTGGCATTTCCAGAAGAACCGGAAGTCCGCCATATTGGATTGTAATGTGATCAAATCCGAAATAGTTGTTCATATAACTGTACCGAATTTCAGATAAATCCGTTGACGAATGCAGAAGTTACAGGGGTGGCCCGATAACCTGTGTCACCCGGTATGTCGACAATATTTTTGCCATTTTTGATACGAAAATCACAGATATAGATAACTTCATTTCACAATTGAACAATTGCTTCTCCTCTATCAAATTCACTTTTTTATGCGGAAACAACGGTCAACTTCCATCCTTAGATGTTGTTGTGATCAAAAATGACGAAGACAATTAAGAATTTGATGTTTCCAGAAAAAAAAACTAACACAACAACAAAATGGCAAGTTTAAACTTCCTAGTAGATAGTCTAGTTTCATTTCCTCTGAGCAAACAAATATTCGATGATGAGAGGAGTGTTGTTTATAAAGTGGCTGGCGTCAATGCATGGTTATGAGATCAAAATAGTAGATAAATTGAGACGTAAACATAAATTTGAGTTATCACCCAGGAATTCTACGACTTTTCAAGCGGATAAAAACAATCCGAGGAAGATCCCAATCCCCTTTCAATTCCAAGTATATACACAAGAGGACTTGATAAGGTTTTCAAAGACTTATTAGGTTTTGAAAGCGTTTATCAGTCTGGGTCAAAGTTTGGCAATTCATCAGTTATTTCAAAAGATAAGGTGGACACACTTGAAGAATCAGGAATATGCGAAATCAGTTGTAATAATTGTAATAAAACATTTATAAGCCAAACCAGGCGTCCCATGGAAACAAGTTTCGAAGAACACTTAGCACATTCAAAATATGGTAGGTTAGATAAATCGTGTGCACAATCATTACACATATAATAATAACCTCAAATTAGTTAGGCAAGTGAGATATGCAGAAAATTAGATGCATAAGAAAGCTTAGAGATATTTAAGAATAGTAATAGAGTAATGAATAAGTATAATGGACCTATCCCATCTAGCCCTCTGTATATAGTTTAGTGATATAACATGTGAACTCAAACATGAGTAACATCAACTTGGTGGTTATTGTCTATTTACGGTTGGGTGGACATATACTTAGTATATAAGTAACATAGTTAGCAAAACACGTGTCAGTGGTATTATCGTGCCAATGGTTCCAGTCTTCGATATATCAATAATATGGTGTCCAGAAGAAAAAAAACTTGGGAGGTTATATCTCAGAAATTTGACAGTTTGAACATAAACTGACAAAACCATTCAAAAGATCACTAGAAGGTACCATCGGAGTGTTGAAGTCGTTTTTTCATACAATCAATAGTTTTCGACATATTCAAGGAAAACGAAAATAGCAAATTTCAGTGTTCCTTGAATAACCCAAAAATGACTGAAGCTATAAAATTGTGAAACACGATTGAATTTGCTGAAACTTTCATAATTCAACCGACCCTCTATCTTTCACAGTTACCAAGTTCCCAATGGTGAGGATCGAATTTGGGACACACTGTATGGCGAAAAAATATTATTTTCATGAAATTGAGCAATAACATCGAAGAATATTCGGGAAAGAAAAAATATATATTTCTGATTGCCTAATATCTGTAAAGAACTTAATTTAATTTGAGAAATCAGTGGCGCAACATATTTATTCATGAGCCCAGTTATTGCCCCCTAAAGGACGCTACTGGAATGATTGAATGAATTCCAAATAGGTACATCGGGAAACGTCTTCTGCTATCTACCAAGTTCTGAAAAAAATAATTTGAAGACTTTTTTCCATATTTTGCACGAAATTTTCTACCCATATCATCTATTTATATCTACAGTAAGTTCCTCTCCCCTTTCGTGAAATTTCGTGAAATTTTCAGGATACCGTGAAAGTATCACTCTACTATGAAGCCCTGTGTCCCTACTCTCAAGAATTCATAAAGGATCAACTATTTCCTGGATATCAAGTTCTAGGTGATGTACTTGATTTGGACCTAGTACCATATGGTAAAGCTAAGGTGAGTTTGCAAAATATTTGCAAGCAAAGTTTTCCAGAAGTAATCAGAAATTCTTGAAAAATGTACGCTGCCACGTACAATATCATCCTCAGACTGATATTGAACGTCTTGCTACATTGCCCAAGTCATTGCTATTTCCGGTGCTTCTGACTTCTCCGAAACAAACGCAAAATATACCGGGTGACACAGGAGACATGTTGTAGCAGCCTGTAGTTTTTTTATTTGATGAGATAAAATTTTGAAATTCACAGGGGGTATATAATAAATGGTAGCGCACTTTACGAATTAAACGACAATTTTTTCAACCACCTGCTTGACCGGAAGTGACCCCAACTTTTTTTTTTAAATGTCACCTTGTACATTTCTTCAATCTATCTTTTTCGCCTTGAGATTTTCTATCCAATCACGTATCACAAAGTGGCATTTATTGCTTAATTCGCTGTTGAATTGCTTCTTATTCAAAAAGAATAAGTTGGCTGTGACATGAATTCGATGATATCGACACTTGGTAGGCTTTGAAATTTGAATATCATTAGTAAACTGATATTATTCAAAATATTTTGATATTTTGATCAATGTCTGCAGGTTGTCAATAGCTTGTTTGAGTCAAGATGAAAACCTTCGAAAATAACTCATGATATTGAGGAATCTAAGATAGAAACATATTTTTTCGAATTCAGCTACTCGTACAGAAACTATCTGTCTTTCATTTTCGCCATGTACCTATCACATGATCTTCCCATTTGGAATAATAAAACTAAAACTGTTCCTCTTATACGATGATCCACAGGGCTATCAGTCTATTTTTTCATAATTATTTCACTTAGTAGGCGGTGTACCTACACAAAATGTTTTATGTGTTTGACAGTTAATCGATTGCATCAATAATTTCTCTTCTTCATTTGTGTGTTGCTTAAAATTGAAGAAACGAAAAAGTCGATAATATATGTTGTTAATATGCAATTTTAATCAACACACAAATGAAGAAGAAAAATTATTGATGTAATCGATCAACTGTCAAACACATAAAACATTTTGTGTAGGTACACCGCCTACTAAGTGAAATAATTATGAAAAAATAGGCTGATAGCCCTGTGGATCTACGTATAAAAGAAACAATTTCAGTTTTATTATTCCAAATGGGAAGATCATGTGATAGGTACATGGCGAAAATGAAAGACAGATAGTTCCTGCACGAGTAGCTGAATTTGAAAAAATATGTTCCTTTCTTAGATTCCTCAATATCATGAGTTATTTTCGAAGGTATTCATCTTGACTCAAACAATCTATTGACAACCTGCAGACATTGATCAGAATATCAAAACATTTTGAATAATATCGGTTTACTAATGATATTTAAATTTCAAAGCCTACCAAGTGTCGATATATCATCGAATTCATGTCACAGCCAACTTATTCTTTTTGAATAAAAAGCAATTCAACAGCGAATTAAGAAATAAATGCCACTTTGTGATACATGGTTGGATAGAGAATTTCAAGGCAAAAAAGATAGATTGAAGAAATGTACAAGGTGACATATAAAAAAAAAAGTTGGGATCACTTCCGGTCAAACAGGTGGTTGAAAAAAAAATGTAGTTAAGTTCGTAAAGTGCGCTACCATTCATTATATATCCCTTGTGAATTTCAGAATTTTATCTCTCCAAATAAAAAAACTACAGGCTGCTACATGTATCCTGTGTCACCCGGTATATTTCATTCCACTGATTTCGTTCGAATGGAGTACTCCTCTGTAAATACTGAACTTCATCAAACTTTATTGGACAGAAAAATATATTTTCGAAGGAGCAATTTTTCTCCCTCTTTTTCGAAAAGATCATTATATGAATAGGAAATACCAACTATTTTTTTTATGATCCGGCTCATATTTTCTGTATAGGTGAAGGCATTTCAAGATACGAAGACATTGTCATTTATTATCATTTACAAACTAGATTTTTTTAGATGAGCAATATTAACGGTAAATGGAAACTGACATGCCAACATGGTCCGAAGGAATGTTTTGGAAACAAAATACAAGCTTGTGTTTTGGACCTGAATTACACACAAGCAAAGTCTATGAATTTCATTGGATGTGTCATGTCAACAGAGACCCCTGAGAACAAAAAAATTGCTAAAAAGGTAGGTGATTGGTATATTAATACGCGGAGAGTAATAAGCGGGACATCTGATCTGTTACAAAAAGAAAATATTTGTGATCTTGCCATCCTTGTTAGTTCACCGGGTAATTCAAATTCGAGGGCTTACATTGGGACCTCGGAAACTATAGGAGATACGAAGATGGTTACCCACATAGCACATGGAGGTACCAAATTGGGAGTTGAACATCCGATGGACGTTCATTGGATGTCCTGAGGACACCACTTTGGACGTACAGTGGATGCTTATACGTGGACGTTGCTCATCTTTGGGATAAAATAATGAAAAATCAATAGGTAGAAACTTCTACTTATATATACTTTCATTATCAATTGCTTATATATAATTATATTGTTGATTCATATCTTCTGCAGTCTACTTCAAATTCTTGTTTCTGTAAAAAAGAGAAATATTATGAGTTGTTCTATATGAAGGTATTCCGTAGTTAGGGGGCAACCGAATGACGGATAGAACAAATTTTAGAACAAATTTAGTTGAAGCTTAAAAGTAGAAATCGATTGTCCATACCCCCAATCCCGTGCAGCTTAACTCTGACTGGTGAACAAAGCCTTATTCAAAACAATATTACATTGCTAGGCACTTCTTCTTTCAAGCCTCCCATTGAAAATAAATAAGAACCTGTAGGTTTGATAAAGCATAAAATAATAACTCATGATAACTATATTAGCTATATAAAGACACATTCGAACATACATGCTCTCATACCTGCTTTGAATGATCTAGTCCGAAATATTCTGCATTCCATAATTCATCACAAAAAAAACGTATCACGCCAGTCGTTACTTACGAGCTCGTCTCGTTCACTGACCCTTTGTATAGTTGTATTACGACCAATCCGATCTTCAATTCTTGCCTCTTTTACATCGTGGCAGAAGAATCAATAACCTCACGTCCATCTCTGAAAGTACAACCCTAATAGCACACAACGTCCTAGGGACGTCCCTATTTGGTACAATTCACGTCCGAATGTCCCGAACCAAAAATAAGTGTCCTTGGGACGTCCCATCCCGTACATCTCATGCAATGTTCGAGCAAGGACGTCCACGGAATGTCCCAGCTGGTACATTATTTCAAATGTCATAGAAATGGCATCCCTTAGACGTCCCACGTAGTATAAATTGTAGAATGCCCATGCAAGGACGTCCGTGGCATGTCCCTGATGGGGTATGATTTTAAACGTTCCTTTTGGGACATCCATCGGATGTCCCGAGTAGTACATATACTGGCATGACTTCAGATCTTATATAATGTCCCTTCTAGACAACCATGAAATGACTCTGATGGTATATTCCTTCAAATATCTCTGCACAGGCGCCCTTAATATTTCCAGGATCGTATAACAATCGAAATGTCCCTTAGGGACGTCCTTCGAATGTCCGTTGGATGTCCTAACTGGTAAATAAACTGTACTCTTCCAATGTCCTAGAAATAACGTCCTATGGACGTCCTAGTCGGTACTTTCAATGTGTTGTCCCTGCGAGGACGTTAACTTATACCTCGCCGAAGAATGATTGCTCGTAGGCTATAAGTACTCCTCTTCAATGTCCTTCACGTAAGTCCATTGGACATCCTTGGGAAACTTTTTGGGGACCTTCTACGGACCATCAACTCAAGTGGATGTCCTACTCAGTTATGCAAGATCTGGTCCTAAAGGGACCCAGACAAATTCAAATTCAAGAATAATTCGTACGTCCCTGGGACATCCTATAGACATCCAATTGATATCCCTCAGCGTTGCTGATAGGTTGTCCTATGGATGTCCTAAGGACGTCCTCTGTAGTGCTTGATGAGGAATACCTACTGTAGGATTTAGGTATTCTATAGTTGTCCCAAGGACGTTCTTCAAGGACGTCCCTAGTTGGTCCTCCAGTGGGACATTTGTGCGTCCCACAGACGTCCATTGGACGTCCACGGTACCAAATTTGAACGTCCTATGGACGTCCTGAATGTCCCGACAGGACGTCCTAAGGATATCCATGGGACATAAGTGTGTTATTAGGGAATGGACGTTCATTTAACGTCCATATATAAACCTTCAGACTTAAAATGATTTCAAATAGATATTTAGTTCGAAAAATTCTTGATATACTCATTCATCCATGAATACTTGAATTTAGAATGATCTGGTCCGAAATATTCTGCATTTCATAATTCATCACAAAAACAACATATCGTGCAAGTCGTTACTTTCGAGCTCGTCTCGTTCACTGACCCTCTGTATAATTATTGTATACCGACCGATCCGACCTTCAATTCTTGCCTCCCCTCCATCGTGGACCTTCAGACTTAAAATAATTTCAAATAGATATTTAGTTCGAAATATTCCTGATATACTCATTCATTCCTCATCCATGAATACTTGAATTAAGAATGGCCGTAAAATGGAAATCCAATGGAAGTTCAATTTGTATCATCCAATGTACGTCCGTCTTTTTTCGTACAATGGATGTTGATCAAATGTCCATTCGAGTTAAGTCCTTGAGGTGACGTAAAATGAATGTCGAACGGACGTTAATTTTGGAACATACATTGTACGTCCATCTTTATGAGTACAAGGAATGTACATTCTGTACGTCCATGTTCGTAAGTATATTTAATGTCCATTCAATGTCCATGGACGCTTAGAATTGAAGACCACAGGAAAAAAAGGGGAGAATGTCACAAAAAGTAAAAACGCATTGCAAAGTTTAAAATCCGCGTTTTTTTCATGTGAACGTATTTTCTAATGAGCATATTAGCTGACTAAGCTATGCTATGGACTTCTGTTTATACTAAAATATAATGATTAGGCTATCAGCTAGATGGCGGTGTAAAGTCAATTTTAACTATATTGTGACATTCCTCCATTTTCCCCTGCGATCTTCGATTGAAATCAACCTGAAACGGACGTCCAATGGATGTCATGTGCGCATTTATGTGACTAAAAATATGCCGTCGACAAAATTTATAAATTCCGAGTATTTCCGGAAATAAACAATAATAAATTGAAAGTAAAAAAAAAAACTTTTTAATAAAAAGCTTTTATTTAAACGCTCTAAAAAGAAGAAAATAAAATTTTTCTTAATAATTTTAACTATCAACTCATAACCTCATTATACACAATTTATATGATCATAAAAGTTTGTCGCGCGATTCACTTGTGTGAATGAACTAGAACTTATTCAATTATGTAAAATCTGCTGAGATAAATTTTTGAAATTATAATTTAATCAAATATTGATCATCGTGACAAGCTATTATGATTATATAAATTGTGTATAATGAGGTTATGAGTTGATAGTTAAAATTATTAAGAAAAATTTTATTTTCTTCTTTTCAGAGCGTTTAAATAAAAGCTTTTCATTAAAAAGCTTTTTTTTACTTTTAATTTATTTTTCAATTTTTAGTTATCGCTAGCTAGATTTCTCGATTTACTCTCAACGAGCCTTTTCATTTTATACCCATATTGTAGAAGTATATTGAAATAGACCATTCCGCCATCTTGGATGGTCCGCCATAATAGATTTAGAATGATGTAACATCATTTTTCGAGTTACTCTCAACGAGCCTTTTCATTTGATACACATATTGTAGAAGTATATTAAAAATAGCTATTTCGCCATCTTGGATGGTCCGCCATATTGGATTAAGAATAACGTCACATTATTATTCGAATCACTCTCAACGAGCCCTTTCATTTGATACCCATATTGTAGAAGTAGATTAAAAATGACCATTCTGCCATCTTGGATGGTCCGCCATATTAGATTTAGAATGACGTCACATCATTCTTCGAGTTACTCTCAACGAGCCTTTTCATTTGATACCCATATTGTAAAAGTATATCAAAAATAGCTATTCCGCCATCTTGGATAGTCCGCCATATCGGATTTGGAATAACGTGACACACCTTATCGTGCATTGTCATCCAAACTGAACGTGTATACAAAATTTCAGCTCAATCGGTTGAAGATTTCTGCTTCAAAATTGAGTTCAAAGATTCCACCCGAACATACATACATCCATACATCCATACAAACATACAATGCAAGTTAAATAAAAGCTTTTAATTTCAAAAAACAGAAATTTTGTTGAATCATTTTTATTCTTTTCTGGCTTTATTCATTTGAGGATATCAAAATGGGTTTATATCACAACAAATTTGTATTTCATAATTCGATAGAACTCACCCAAACTAGCTCACCACCGCAAACCGTTTCTTGCTGTGAGCTCCCAACGTTTTATAAAAAAATATTGAAATCCCCGATTTTTCGGACCTCTGAAAACGAGGCGATGATGTGACGTCAAAACCCTAATACTGAAATGATTTCTGACAGAGTGAATTAGCGCGAGATCACAGTTGAAAGATTCAATATATCAGTTGCCTCAGTCTCCGTCGGGCGATTGGTATTTTCTTTTAACTATGGCGAGATGAGGTTTCTACGTCATAAGAGGGTCCGTTTTCAGAAGGTACTACTATTTATGTCCGAAAATAAAACATTCCAGTTAATTTTTCGACCGAATTATGTCGTCAATCATTATATGGTTTGAGTTGAAAGGTCTACTAAGGTGTACACGCCCACATTCACATGGTCACTTTTCCCTGCTACACGATGTCATTTTCATCAATAATAATAGCATTTTTTCTTCTGATTCAACGATGTATAACATATTATACTTCGCAACCTCACAACCTCGGAAATTTGAAAAAAAAATAAGGTTTTTGTAGTTGGCCTTACATGAACATTCACTTGTGTTTCTTATTTCAGTGTGCTGAAAAAAATAAACTTTCCTGGACAGACATCAAGCTGTGTATGAATGGCGAGCAGGTTAACGAAATCATGGAAAAAATGGGGAATAAAACTAACAATCTTGAACCGAAAATGATGTACGTCCCATATATCTTGTTCAACGATATTCACGATGACGATGTGGAAGACGAAGCCAGAGAAAATTTCCTGAAGACCGTTTGCAAGATGTTCAAGAATAAACCCCCAGGATGTTCAGACTTCAATTAGGCCAATCATCACAGACATGGGAGATTTAAATTTCAACAATAATTCCATCAGGAGTTCTAGATTTCATCAGTAAACTCAGAAAAAAATCTCAATTTGCAACCTTTTCCAAATTTTGAATTGACTTGGTCGTTATTATTTCATGAACGTTGTAAGGTTTTGAATTGATCCATAGTGAATGTGACAAACTTCACAAACGACAAGATTTCCACAAAATTCCTAATCACACGACATGTTTCGCTAACACAGTAGCTTCATCAGGTGAAATACTGAAAAACTTAGTTCATGGTACTACCCTAATAACACAATAACATCTGTAAGACGTCGTAGAAACATCTATATGGGATGATAGGAACATCTCTGAAAAATCCCTATTTTCCTTGGGACATTCTCGGGATGTTGCTGGCAACACCCGTGTCAGCATTTGCGATGTCTTATTAACATCCCATCAGAATGTTTGTGGGATGATACGGGATGTACCAGAGACAATCAGGGTACTTGATGTGGAACATCTTGAAGAGACTTTTAGGATGTTTTTTGTTAGATGACAGAAATGGATGACACGGTATGAATTATTCTCAATCTGAAATCCTGAAAATGGCCGACCTATTTCCAGATATGAAGTAACAATGCGAATCCGAAAATATAAGGTCGGTGCGGTCCAATAACTAATGGAAGATAATAACAGTTGTTTGAGGCTCATATTTGTTGGCGCTGGGCCGACGGCTGTTAGTAATTCTTAGCAACGTAGTTGTACCGCCATCTATCGGCTGGTATAACAAATAAATTCAGCAATAAATATGCTGAAGAGATATATTTCAATTTTGTCGTTTATTACATGGTTCATGGAGTGAAGCAGGTACTTTGGTAATCTTATTGAGGAATATTTAGTATAATTATTTCAATTTGTTATCTATGAAATTAGCCGGCTTTGGTATAGGTATAAGTATATGAGTACGGATACGGTTTTGATTTCCATTTTCAACCAACTTTTCAATGTTTCAAATGTCACAATTGTTTGAACTGTTCAATCATGTCAATCATCATTAGCAAATATGGAACCATGATATTGTTTATGAAAAAAAGATCAAATGGGATGTTTCTAGAACATCCAATGAAAACATCTGATGGATGTCCCAAGAGGAACATCTCTGGGATATCGTACCTAAGTCTGAAACATTGGGACATTTGTAGGACCTTAGCGGGATGTACCAGCAAGATCCCGTGTTGTTAGGGTAGTATTTCACTTGATAAAGCTACTATGTTAGTGAAACATGTCGTGTGATTGAGAATTTTGTGAACATCTTATCGATTGTGAAATTGTTACATTAACGTTGTAGGGATTCACTCAGCTTCGAAGAAGTTACCTTTAGCGAAACATATGTTTTCGGCGCATCTTTCAATTTTGCAAAACTCCTGAATTTGTTTCTGTCAGTTCATTGATTAAAAAAAACTGTCTCGTACCATTCGAATTGGTTGCAAATCTAATACCATAATACCATAGGGCACAGTTTTTAATACCTTATATGCAATAACACATCATTATACTACTCCCAGTTTTCATAAAAAAATATACAACAATAACTTACCTAGGTAGGTTCTGGATATATCAATAGTTCTGGAAAGGTTACAAAATGTTCTAGTTGTGTTATATTGTTATTCCACCAGTAGCTCTGGAACCTATTATTATATGTACTCCTTTTCAAGGCGTGAAATGTGTTTTTCTCTACCACCCTACACCATAGAAGTACGAGCTCCACTTGGCAATTCTGACCACACACTCATCTCCACAACCTGCCAATTTTTCATTCCATCAACTGCTCCGGCACCCCCACGTCTTATATGGCATTACAATTCAGGAGATTGGGACGGCCTCCGCATGTTTTTCTCCGAGTTTCCTTGGCATAGAGTATGCTTTGACTCTGAGGACCCTTCACAGTGTGCTGCGGAAATATCCGAGATCATCATGCTCGGAATGGACACATACATACCTCATTTTTCGAAAAGATCATCACCTTCGAAACCCTGGTTCAACAAAAACTGTTCTAGAACTATTGCCTTGAAACAAACAGCCTACCATCGATGGCGTGAAAACCCTAACCTCGCGACTAGAGCAGAATACGTTGATAACGGGAATAACTGCAGCCAAACAATAGACGCTTCGAAAGAAACATACAATGCCAAGATGAGATCGAAACTCATAGATTGCCCCAATGGCTCCCGTTCGTTTTGGTCCCTTGCTAAAGCGGTCGGAAGAAATTTCACTAATAGTTCATTTCCACTACTGTCCAAATCCGACGGCACATTAGCAACAACATCGCAGGAGAAAGCGAATATTTTTGCAGAGATGTTCGCAGCAAACTCTACTTTAGATTCCCGAGGAAAAGTGCCGCCAGACATTCCACCCGTTGATAGTCGAATGCCCGAAATCGTCTTCCGTCAACGCACTATCAGACGTATTTTGCTTGGTCTCAAAACGAATAAGGCTAACGGTCCTGATGGAATTCCACCCATTATCCTCAATAAATGTGCACCAGAGTTGACACCGATTCTCTGCAAGTTGTTTCCGTCTCGTACAGGTCGGGTATATTTCCATCATGCTGGAAGACAGCTAGAGTCCAACCAATCCCCAAAAAAGGGAACAAGAACCTTATAACCTACCCAATAACTACAGGCCCATTGCCCTGTTATCAGTTATCTCCAAAGTGATGGAGAAAGCCATCAATATTGAGCTTATCAAATATCTAGAGACCTCAGGAATCATCAATGATAGACAATATGGCTTTCGCCACCGAAGATCAACTGGAGATCTACTTGCCTACGTCACCCATTTATGGCAAGCTTCATTAGAAAAACACGGGGAATCTCTAGCTAACGCGTTGGACATATCGAAAGCATTCGACCGTGTTTGGCACGAAGGACTCCTCCACAAACTACCAGCATACGGCTTACCACCTCAGCTATGCCATCTTTTATCGAGTTTTCTTTCAGGCAGATCGCTTCATGTGGTGGTGGACGGTGTATCGTCTGATAAAATTGGCATTAATTCCGGCGTTCCACAAGGTTCAATTTTGGCACCAACATTATTCCTTCTTCATATCAATGATCTGTTGGGAGTAACAACTTGCCCCATCCACAGCTTTGCAGATGATAGTACCCTCCATACTGCGTTCTCTTCCAGAATTCCCATTTCTTCCCAGGAAACTAAGAACTCACGGCGCAGGCAGGTCAATGCTGTCAATGAAGATCTTGCTGAAATCACAGCCTGGGGAACCAACAACCTAGTTGAATTCAACGCCACCAAAACTCAAGCCTGCATTTTCTCTAGAAAGGCGAAACTCAGTATGCCCGATATTGTGATGTCTGGCTCCACCATATCTATGCCTGGTATTTATATCAGCAACACTCTTTCATGGGATAATCATGTCAGATCCATCGCAAAAGCTTCTTCACAAAAACCCGGATTCTTGTTCCGTGCGAAAAGCTACTTTACACCTCAACAGCTTCTCATGATCTACAAAGCGCAGATACAGCCTGTTCTAGAATAATGTTCCCACATATGGGGTTCAGCACCAAAACATACGCTGATGCTCTTAGATTCCATCCAGAGAAGAGCCATTCGCCTGGTGGGTGACGCCACACTCACTCACTCTTTGACATCATTGGAACACCGTAGAAAGGTCGGCGACCTTTCACTTTTCTATCGATACTTCCACGGGAAATGTTCTTCGGAAATCTCTGCTATCATCCCTTCACTAGCAATACCAATCAGACGAACTAGACAAGCCCAGTCAGCACATCCTTTCGTTGTCAACCTCGAAAGATGTCGAACAGCACTTTATCAAGACTCCTTCATCCATAGGACAGCTAGGCTCTGGAATTCATTGCCTGTGGAAGTATTCCCAACAACATATAATCTCCAAAAGTTCAAAAAAGATTCCAATACCTATCTCCTGTCCCTATATCCTCTCTAGGAACGCACGATGTTCTTTGAACATTATAGGGATTCCCTATCGTGTGCTCCAAGCTATAAAAAAAAGGTAGTTTTCATCATTTTATGAACTACTTGCCAATGAAGACATAGCCATATAATTTACCCAAATTCACTGTTCTGATGCGAGATTGGCAAGAATGGCACCCGAATCTAGTAGGTATTTATCAACAACGACTTGCTGTCATGGTCATGGCAACTAGATTTCATTAGAATTAAAAAGAGGTGCTGTCATAGTGACAATAGGTCTATATTTGAGTTTAAAAAAACTATAATGTTTGAAATATATTGCTAGTGGCGAAAGAATTATAATAGACACCTTGGTACCCAGGCAACCAGATGACAAATGATCACGTCACTGTGACGTTTCTAATTGGTGATTTTTCATCAGAGACGTCACACACCATTTTATGACGTCACTATGACGTACTTCCTATGACGTGATAATCACGTCATCATCTCGACGTCGAGTGAACGTTACTTAGAAGGGTAATATAAGACGTCAGTTTAATGACGTTGCGGGGACGTCCTGTCGACGTCCATCATGTGAAACCGTTAAGTTTGTGACGTACCTATATATACAGGATGGGCATTCTCAGTGTCGTCGAAAAGTTTTCCATTAATTTCACACACATATAAAGAAACATGTACGTCTTGGTAATATTATATATATGTTTCTAATTTCGATGAGGTATAACTCATTAAAACAAATCAACATGCATGTTTCATTGGAATTACTTATACAGTATGTCCCACTTACCATGCTCACTATGGGTATCTTTTTAACGGTGAGAGATACGAGGTCGGTTAAATGACACCAAATGTGGAGTTTGTCAAGGCCAACTATAATGTGAAAAAATATTTTGACAAAATTTATTCGTTTTTGTTTTATACGCAAAAAACAGATTTTGATCATTTTCATGTCTCCTCCGTAACTTCTTTATTTATGAAAATATTTGAATAGGAATTTTACATTCTCATGGCAGTTTTTCAAAGTGATTTCGAAAAGAATATGAAATTTATACCAACTCTTCTAGAATTTGAGATATCAGCACCAACTTTAGTTTTTCAAATGTAGGTCATAGCTCACTATGACTTAGTTACAAATAACTTTTTTTTCTATTACAGATGATGTGTCGCAGGAATAGTTTGGTGTTGATAACAACGGAGTTATCGTCATTTATACAAAAACAAAAACTTATTTGGAAGCCGCCATCTTGAATTTATGAATTTTAACAAGAAAATCATGATCTCCGACCTCAAAAACCCCCACTCACCAATTTTGAATGGAATCGGACCAAATCTTGTCCGCCATCTTGGAGCAGCCATTTTTTTAATTTCAACAAAAATTCCATAATGTATTGTCACCAAAATTATGAACACCTGCCAAATTTCAAGTTAATCGGAGTAATGGAATTTTTGTTGAAATTAAAAAAAAATGGCTGCTCCAAAATGGCGGACAAGATTTGGTTCGATTCCATTCAAAATTGGTGAGTGGGGGTTTTTGAGGTCGGATATCATGATTTTTTTGTTAAAATTTATAAATTCAAAATGGCGGCTTCCAAATATTTTTTTGTTTTTGTATAAATGACGATAACTCCGTTGTTATCAACACAAAACTATTACTGCGACATATCATCTGTAAGAGGAAAAAAAGTTATTTGTAACTAAGTCATAGTGAGCTATGACCTACATTTGAAAAAGTAAAGTTG